GTAAAACTTTATTCACAGACGACGTGAGCACATACCAAAAAATTCTAAGGAGTACAAAAATACTACTACTAAAACTGAATTAACAAGGTTGCAGGAGGTAAATCAACGTTAACAAAGCAATTGTATATCTGTGTCAACAAAATTCAAATGTAATTTTGAATAGCACCCAAAAATTAAGTTTTTTAAAATGTGAAAACTTCAAAACATTACTAAAGGAAATTTTTTTAAACCCTAAGTAAAAGGATATATGCATCCTATTCACAGATTGGAAGACTATTTTTAAGATACCCGTTCTCGTTGATCTATAGATTCTAAACAATGCCTATCAAAATCCCAGGAGGCTTATTGGGCAGGCATTTACAAGCTGATTTTAACGTTTACATGGACTTGTAAAGAATCTCAATTAGCTAAAATAATGCTGAAAAAGAAGATCAAAGTTATCCTTCCTGATAGCAAGGCTTATATAAAACTATAGTAATCAAGATAGTGTGGTATTGGCCTAAGGATAGACATATAGATCAATGGAAGAGAACAGAGAGTCCAGAAATAGATCCCCATGTTGATTTCAATTGATTTTTGACAAAAGTGTCATGATAATTCAATGGGGGAGAAAATAGTCTTTCCAGCGAAGGTTCAAGAACAACTGGATATCCTTATGGAAAAAAAGTTGAACCTTAAACATGACTTCACGGTATATACAAAATTTTAAGAGACTGCAGATTTAAATGTAAAAACTAAAACTATGAAACTTCTACAGGGAAACAGAAAAAAATCTTTTCTAAGTTTGATAGGCAAAAATTTCTTAGGATGCCAAAGTCACTAAGCATCAATGAAAACAGTGGGCAGGGCCTGGCCCCGTGGCTGAGTGGTTAAGTTCGTGCGCTCCGCTGTGGCGGCCCAGGGTTTCAGTGGTTCAAATCCTGGGTGTGGACATGGCACAACTCGTCAGGCCACGCTGAGGCAGCGTCCCACATGCCACAACTAGAAGGACTCACAACTAAGAATATACAACTATGTACCGGGAGGGCTTTGGGGAGAAAAAGGAAGAAAAAAGTGGGCAAATTAAAGTCTTTTAAGTTTAAAAATGTGTTCTCCAAAATATACCATTAAGAAAAAGGCAAGCTGCTGACTTGGAGGAAATATTTGAGGTACATAAATCAGACAAAGGACTTATAAGAAACTCCTAGGGGGCTGGCCCCGTGGCCGAGTGGTTGGGTTCGCATGCTCCACTTCAGCGGTCCAGGGTTTCGCCAGTTCCAATCCTGGGCGCAGACACGGCACCACTCATCAGGCCATGCTGAGGCGGCATCCCACATGCCACAACTAGAAGGACCCACAACTAAAAATACACAACTATGTACCGGGGGCGGGGTGGGGGGTGGCTTTGGGGAGAAAAAAGGAAAAATGAAGCCTTAAAAATAAAAAAGAACCTCCTAAAGTCGTAAGACACAAATCTGGTTAAAAGAGTTGAATAGATGCTTCACGAAAGAAGATACAGGCAATGGTCAGTATGAACCTAGAGATACTTGACATCATTAGGCATCAGGGAAGTGCAAATTAAAGCCAGCAGGAGAGGCGAAACTAGTGAGGAGGAAGATGAGCGGTGGCCTGGAGGCTGCTGTCAGGTGATGGGATCCAAGGACATAAGGAAACTTCTTAGAGAACTGGAAATGTTCCATAGCAATAAAAAGCTGGAAAAAATATTTTTAAAACTAAAATGAGATACCATTCCATGCAGTCTAGAATAGCTAAAATTATAAATACTGACAATATCAAGTGAAAGCTTCTAGCACGTATCTTTTTAAAAAAATTGTTTTCCTGCTATACAGTGGATGCATTCATTCTTTATTGTAGCAAAAGATCATATTTTAGAGGATATTTTGGAGGCAGCTTTTGACAACTTGAAGGTATGGTGAGTTAGAAAGATAGAGTTAATAACGGAGTATTTTATTAAAGTTCACTTTAGGCTACAAGTATAAGTAGTTGCACTTGATGAAGTGGTTGATAGGAGCAGATTTGGGGGCAGTTTGAAATTCTGTAAATAATACACAAAATGGTTTGTAAGGCAAGTGTAAATTGCATTAATTCTAAATGTCCTAGGGAAGATTAGTAGCCAAAGGAATCCTATGGTGAAGCCTTTTGTTTTAATACTTAGAATAATCACTTTTTAATCTATCTGTTTTACAAGTTTAAATTTTTATTTTTTTATTATAGAAAGCAACACCTGTATGTGCTAGAAGTCATTTAGCAAATACTCAATAAAAACTTGTTGATGATAAATACTATTTAAAAGCAGAAGAGGAGAACGCCAAGTACAGTATATCTAAAAATGGGAAAAGGATATGCTACTGAATTCCCTTTTGATTATAATGTTCTTGATCTTCAATAGCATTCAAGAGAAATTAAGAATGTTAAAATCAAGAGAACAACTTCAGAGAAATTCAGGAGAATATTATTATTGGTGGGCCAATCAAACAAGCCTGTGGTCCCTATGTCTTTCGGGTTTGTTCATCACTTGGTCCAATTGTACCAGGCTTTGTAAAGTCACCGTCCAATGTACTGAATATCCTCACTGATAGGAGTCTTGAATCTCAGCCAGAAGGAGGCCCCGATGAGCGTGATGTCGTGCTTACCGTGATTTACCGTATCACATTGTCCTTCACCTCCTACTGCCTGGCTTCCCTCATCTTGATCTTCCTCCCGTCACTGCTTTGGAGCAAGATGGAAGCACTTTAGCTTTTTGATCTCTGCTTACAGCCATCACTGCGGCTGCAATTGCCGTGATTGCAGTTTGATCCAGACGGGCATTTCCCTTCCCCTCCACATGTTTTGTAAGGCATGGATGCTGTCAGCATATCTGTTTTGGCCAAATCCCAGAGTGACCAGATGGGGCGCTAGACTGGAATTTTACTGGCTAATTTGATTCTTCAGAGCCTTTCATTTATTATAGGTGACTAGCACCTTTGAACCAATATCTGAACTCTGTCTCAGAGTTCCACACACACAACAAAGTCCCTACTTGCCCGAAACATGGAACTCCTTAAGGAAATTTAGGCTTTGCTTAGACCTGTTTCGTGGCCACGTAGGCTAAACTTCCATGAATGGGAACCTCCACTTTGGCTTTCCGAACCCAAGGCTTGAGCTAGCAGAGCTTAGTCTAATTAATGGTTAGCTTTTTAGAAGTTGGGTCAGTTTGGTCTTTTGATTCTAAAACACTTTTTTTCTCTGGTTATACCCCCGCCATGTACCGAGGACATAAAACTACGTACAGTAACAAATGTGCCTTGAGAACTGCAAAGACTGGCCACACGAACACTTCATTCAAACCCCTGCAGTAAGAGACTCGACCCAACTTTAACATGGCTTCCAGCAGCCTAAGGTGGATGCCCTGGGACAACGCAGCCCCCTTTCAGGTTCAGGAAAAGCTCAAGGCTGTCAAAAGAATCTGCTGCTTGTTCTAGCAGGTCTAGTACCTGTCCACAGTGCCCTGACCTCCTTACAATTGTGAATCCTCTCTTTGTCCCTTTGAGATGTATCTGTATCTCCTACCACTGGGGAGTGTATTTCTCAAGCACCTGAGAGCCATTCCTTTGAAACATAATCATCAGGAAGGACAGGCCCTCGGCTCCCAGTCTCCACGAGAAGGAAGGATCCTAACTTGAACAATTGCCTGCTGGCAGACACAGCTGGCCTGATGGCATGTACACTGACCAGTGCTTTGTAATTTTTCACTTGAGTCCCAGATCACTCCCCCTCCCTACACCCTCTTTCTCCCTTTAAGACACCCAGTCACCACTTTGCAAATTGAAATGGAGCTCGGCTCTTTCCCCTACTGTCAGTAGTTACTGAATAAAATCTGTTTCATCGCTTTAATTCAAGTTTGGTTTTGTGTATCTTTGACAGCCTCATGGTATGGCCTCAGCACGATTAGGTTCTGTATGGAATCTAAATCCACACACATTGTTTCTGTGCTGTTTGCACTCCAACTTAGTACTGCAACGATTGATGGTTGCTAGTCCTGAGAAACTGTAGTGCGGGTGGGCCAATGACCTAGCAGTGTGGGGTTCAAGAATGCAATTTTATACTCACACTTAGCTCCTCTGTATTATCACTCCAGATATCATTTAATTTGGAGACTCTCTTTGTCCTTAGATGAGCATTTTTACACTTATTTGACTGTGAATGACCATTCACAACAATAAAAAGTCATTCTTGAGATACAATATGCACATGGATTGTTTTTAAAAAGTTAAAATTCATTTTTGAAATTTTAATCAAAAAGAAGACAAATTAGAGATTCTAAAATATTTTCTAAGATAAACTATGTGGAAATTTTGAGACAGGTTACAGGTCATGGACTGAAGATTCCACAGACCGGAGGCTGGAAACTGGCCTGCCAGCTGTTTTGTCCGTAAACTTTTTTGGATCACCGTCACGCCCATTCAATTACATATCATTATGGTTGCTTTCACATTATAATAGCAGAGCTGAGTAGTTGGGAATGAGATCCCAGGTTCTGCAACACCTAAATATCTCCCATCTGGCTTTTTACAGGAAGAGTTCGCTTGCCGCTGCCATAGACAATCTAACATAGAGATGCCAGTTGCTAAGTGCTGCTTATCCAGCAAGAGGCCAAACACTTGTGTGCAGAATCATGCGATGTTTCCTACCACTTCCTGGCATCTTCTTCTGGATTAAATGAGGTACTGTGACAGTGACTGGCCCGTGGCCGTATTTAGCAGCTTTATGTTTGTTGAGTTTATTTTCAGGTATGGCACACTTATTTTTTGAAGACGAATTATCACAAAATAAGAGGAAATGGCCTAAACGTGCTTAGTATTACATTTTAAAAGTAAATTTTGATTTGATTTTAGTAGTAGTATTAACATCTATTAACAATTCAAAACATTACTATCTGTGGATCATGATTTTGCCTAGGTCCTTGCTACTCAAAGAATGAGCATCACCTGGGAGCTTCCTAGAACTCCAAGAATCTTGGGCCCCACTCCAGAATGCTGGGTCAAATCCACCCTTTCACAAGACGCCCAGGTGATCAGATGTGTAGTAGTTTGAGGAGCACTGCCAGTTACATCTCATCAATTAAAACTCTCACTTAAGGTGGAAAACCCAAGGAAAACTTGATATTTACAGAGCGACTTTTGAATGTCGTGTTTTGTATTTTAACTTTTAAAAAATTTAAATGTACAAAGTGGTTTACAGCTTGATGAATTATGACAAAGCGAACACATCTATGTAATGACCACTCAGGGTAAGAAATACATCATTATCCCTTCCCCCTCTGCAGTCACTACCCCTCCCTGTTACCTAAAGGTAGCAGCTGCCTTGACTTTTAACGGCATGGATTAGTTTGGCCTGCTTCAAACTTTATATAAAAGAAATTTTTAAAATATGCATCATTTGTGTCTGACCTCACGTATTTCTGCAAAATTGCATTTGTCAGATTTACCCATTTGGTGTGTGTGTAGCAGTTGTTTTTGCTGCTGGAAAAATTTTTGGTTTTTTGTTTATTGTTATACAATGTTTCATTTGTATGAATATATCACAATTTATCCATTCTACTTTTGAAGGACATTTAGGTTTCCAGTTTTTGGTTATTTATAAATAATGCTGCTATAAATATTCCTAAACATGTCTTGGCTACACACTTACATGCATTTCTGTGGGTGTACCTAGGAGTGAAACCGGTATGTCATAAGATATGTCTGTATGTTCAACTTTAGGAGACACCACCAAACAATTTTCCAAATTGGTTGTACCAGTTTACACTCTCACCGTGAGAACCGCAGTTGCTCATTATCACTTGGTATTTGTCAGTCTTCAATTTTGGCCATTCTGCTGGGAGTGGTAGGTGTACATATTGTGATTTTAATTTGTATTTCCTTGACTACTAATGAGGTTGAGACCCTTTTCATCTCTTTATTGCCTATTTCAATATTCCCTTTGTGAAGTCTCTTGCCCATTTTTTATTGTGTTGTCAGTCTTTTTCTTAGTGATTTGTAGGAGTTGTATATCTTCTGGATATGAGCTCCTTTGTCAGTTATATGCATTGCAAGTATTATTTCTCACTCCCTGCTTTGCCTTTTTCACTCTTTAATGGCCTTATTTTATACAACTTTTGTGGTTGTTTTCAGTGAGAGAGGTCAGAACCATCTAGCCAACCACTGCCAGAAGCAGAACCAGGTCTCCTTCTTAATAACTAAATGTTATAGCAGTAATGCATGCATCATGATGAGGACCGAGCCACTATCAGTGGGATTTAGTTTGAGAAGCTTTTCTCAAAGCTAGCAAGTCGAGAAGGAAGCCAATCCCAGCAAAGTAAGTTAATGAGCAAAAAGATGGAGGGAATAGCAGGGACACCTAAGATACACTGGGGCTCTGTGTTCCCAGGTGAGGATTAGGACTCATGGGAAGAAGGACTACTCATTTTAACAAGTTCTTGAGAGAATTAAATGAGAAAATATGGAAGAAAGTTTTCTGTAGATACATAAGATATCAAAATCAGATGGAAACTACTTAACAGTTTTACCCAGGAACCAGTCTGACTGTGTGCGTGCATGTGCTTGTGTGTGTGTGTGCGTGTGTGCATGTCTTATAGCACATTCTGCCTCATCATAGGGAGAATCATACAGGAAGCAATTTAGATTTAGATTTCTTATATTCTTAGCAACTCCTTGACTATTTTCCCCCTGGAAGGCGGAAAAAGGCCTTCAGAAGGCTACAGAAATTACATAGATTGCTCTTTTTCCTTTATAAGCATTTTAATGGGAGGAATGCTTGCCTCAGTATTCATAACTGATTTAGAGCTCCTTCAAATTCAGGGGTTCTTAACCTTAATTACACATTAAAATTAGCTACAGATCTTCAAAAAAAAAAAAAAAAAAAAGAAGTACTGACCCCGGGTCCCATCCCATGCCTTCTGACTGACTTGGTCTGGGGAGGGGCCTGGATATTGGGATTGCTCACTGGCACCACCGCTGCAGCCACGCCTGAGAACGCCTGCAGACAGTGCAAAGATAAGGTTGTCCACCAGATGGAGACAAAGCACTTCTCCACGAAAAGGGCTCTACAAACAAAGCACGTTCTCTGATTCTACAGCTGCACCAACTCCAATTTATGTAATGTACCAAGCAGGGCAAACATGTGGGAAGATAGGTAAATTATCTTTGGAACTGTTGCTTGCCAACCAAAGATATTCTTGCCACAACTGGGGAAAATTCCAGGAACAAAGTTAAGAAACAACATGTGGCTAAAAAGATATCTTATTCAATATCCTGAATTAGCATCAAGAAATAGTTTCAATCCGTTTCCTAGCTCACTTTGATTAAATGGACCATACAAACTGACATCAAGATTGAAAATAAAAAAGGACGGTAATATTGTTCAGATATTACAGCGTGGAAATTTTTGAAATAAGATCACTCCAAGAATTATGCAAATAGCAATCAACATCAGCACGGGTAAATTAGCTTAAGATATGTTCACAGGATTTTAGGACATATGCAAATGTAATAATGTGACTTAGATTTATTCCTAAGTCTGAAGTGTTTGATTGGCAGTTCTCAGCATTCTCTTCTCCCATCTCTTGCCTAGCTCCATCATACAGGCTGTAAAAGCTCCAAGCTTGATCTCTGTCCCCTTGTAGCTGAGATGGTTAGTGAGATGTAGTGAAAACCACTGAGGAGGGCTTCCTTTCTAGAATAAAATAACAAGGACTTAGTACAAGTAATTAAGTAATTTCTTTTTTCCCTTGTTCCCCCCTCCTTCTGCCCTCATCTTCCTGGGCACATGCAAACTTGAGGTGGAACAGCCATCACTGTCCACGAGATGACAACTGTGAGGACACAGCCAGTATTACTAAGGATGGCACAGAGGACAGGCAGGAGGAGCCTGGGTCCTTCCTTGATGAACGTTTTCTGAGCCAAAATGCACAGTTTGACACATCACCTAATATTTTCAACAGAACATCTCAAAACTCCAGGATGTCCTGTCACCCTACCTGACACAGCCTGTGATTCTTCAGGGTGTGCACCGGGTCAAAGCACACAGACCCTGCTGTGGCCAAACACACAGACAACAGAAACGATAAATGAGATAGAAATAGACAGCAGGTGTTTACATCAAGACAGGCCTAATTTGGTCTTAAAGGTAGACGACAAACAAAGGTATGTAATTGAAAAAAAAACTGGGAAAGAGTAAGATTTCTACATTTTGATTAAGCAGAGTAGCAGTTTGCGATCCGATGGCCAGAATATTCAGAATAATTGCGATTCTGTGGTCCAGCGTGGGAGGATTTCATGGAATTCGGGGGCTGTTTAAAGGACTGGGAGCACTTTGTTGACAATACGGGGGAAAGATAATATAGGCATGTGATGTTGCCTTGGAAAGGTCATAAAGGCATAGGTGGGCCCTCCCCGGAGCACAACATAGAACTGTGTCCCCTGGAGTTGTGTCATGTGCCAGCTTTGTGAGCAGCCCAGGGGACAGTGACTGTGTCCTTCTAAGTGGCAAAGGTAATTGACTAAGAAGTAGGAAGAAGGAAATCCCTTTAAATGTTGAACTTTGTCAGGGTCTGCTCCTGATGCCCTTCTCTCTTTCATGCTTTTATTACATGCTGGTGACTCTCAAATCTTTGTCTCCAAACCTAATTTCTCCCCGAGTTTCAGACTCCTTTCCAGCTGCCACTTGGTTATCTACACCTGGATTTTTGCAGTTATTTCAAACTCACCATGTCTGAAAAGGCACTCATTAAAGTGTCATTTCTTTCTGTATATTCCTTTCTCATTCTGTATTTTTTTGGACAACTTTTACTCCATACTGACTCTGTGCCACTCACTGTGCTGGTGCTGGTGACACAAGGATGAGCAGGAGCAGACACGATTCTACGCCACTGCGTTGTCAGTCTAGAGGGGCGGGCTACCACTAAACAAACAAGCACACAAATCGTTACATATTCAATCTGTGATGACGAGGGAACGGACACAGCGTGCTATCTGAGAGTTGACAGTGGAACTTCGTGTCTAATTAGGCAGAATATTACCCACCTGGTCATCTAAGCTAGCAAACTGGACATCATCCTTTCTTTCTCACTCTCTTACCATTCATATACAACCAACCCCCACATCTTGCCTATTTGACCTTCTAAATATTTCTCAAACCATCTCTTCTTTCCCTTCCTCATTACTCTAGCTGAGACTGTCTCCATCTTCTATAAGGATCATTTTGATGCCAGGCTTTGTACATTTCCCCCCTTCTTCTTCACTCTACCCCTCATCCCTTCCCATGCTGCCTCCAGACAGCTTTATCCATGTATCTGTATCTGACCATGTTGCTTTCCTGACTAAAATCTTTCTAGTGATTTCCAATTTTATGTTAAAAATCAACCCACTTTTTTTTTCCTGAGGAAGATTAGCCCTCAGCTAACATCTGTTGCCCATCTTCCTCCACTTTATATTTGGGTTGCCACCACAGCATGCCTAAAGAGCGGTGTATGTCTGTGCCAGGGATCCAAACTCGTGAACCTGGGCTGGCAAAGCAGAGTGTGCCAAATTTAACCACTATGCCATGGGGCTAGCCCCTCAACCTACTTTTTTTTTTTGCTGAGGAAGATTTTCTCTAAGCTAACATCTGTGCCAATCTTCCTCTATTGTGTATGTGAGTCACCACCGCAGCATGGCCACTGATGAGTCAGGTGGGTCTGTGCCCAGCAACTGAACCTGGGCCACCAAAATGGAACATACTGAACTTAACCACTAGGCCATGGGGCCGGCCCCTCAACCTACTTTTTTTTTTTTAAAGATTTTATTTTTTCCTTTTTCTCCCCAAAGCCCCCCCGGTACATAGTTGTATATTCTTCATTGTGGGTCCTTCTAGCTGTGGCATGTGGGACGCCGCCTCAGTGTGGCTTGATGAGCAGTGCCATGTCCACGCCCAGGATTCAAACCAATGAAACACTGGGCCGCCTGCAGCGGAGCGTGCGAACTTAACCACTCGGCCACGGGGCCAGCCCCCTCAACCTACTTTTTTTTAATTAATAGATTTCATTTTGGAGGGAGCAGTTTTATGTTTACAGAAAAATTGGGCATAAAGTATGGATTCCAAAATATCTCATTCTCCCCCATTCCA